ACTACAATGAGATACCATCTCACACCAGTGAGAATGGCACTTATTAAAAAAAAGTAAATAAGGGACCAGGAAAAAGACTAACTATAATAAAGAAAAAATCAAAATCAACAAGCAACTCTAAATCACAGACACACTATGAGGGGGAGCGCGGGGAGAAGAAGAATTAGGGTCAAAATAAGGGGGGTGCAATTGTATGTGGAATATAACCAAAATGAAAATGCATACATTGTGCAAAAATGAAAAATAATGTAAGAATTATATAAACTAAAATATTAAAAAAATAAAACTAGCAACAACAAATGTTGGTGAGGATGTGGAGAAAATGGAACTCTCCTGCACTCTGGTGGGAGTGCAAACTGGTCCAACCACTATGGAGAGGTTCCTCAACCTGCCTAAGATGGAGCTCCCACATAATCTAGTAAATCCACTCCTAGGTATTTACCCAAAGTACACAAACCATTAATTCAAAAGGGTACCTGCACTCCTATGTTTATTGCATTACTATTTAAAATAGGTAATCTATGGGAACAACCAAAATGCCCAAAAATAGATGACTGGATCAAGAAGATGTGGTACATATACACAGTGGAATATTACTCAGCAATCAAAAAGATAAGCTCATGCAATTTGCAGCAATGTGGATGGAGCTGGAAGGGATCATGCTCAGTGAAATAAGCCAGAATGGACTGGCAAAATATCGGATGGTCTCACTCATAGCAGGGGTTTAGAAACTTAAATAAGGGACCAGGAAAAAGACTAATCCTAATAACGTAAAAAATCAAAATTAACAAGCAACTATAAATCAGGGACACAATACTAGGGGGACAGAAGGGAGTAGGATCAAAACAAGGGTGGTGGAAATTGTATGGGGTCTACAACCAAGGTGAAAATGCATATATTATGCACAAATGAAAAATGATGTAAGAAATATATTAAAACATTTAAAAATTAAAAAAAAAGATGCTACAGAAAAAAAGGAAGAAAAACAAACTAAATCAATTCCCTAAAACATTTTTAAATTTTTTCTGCTAATAATCCACTTTAATTATTTCTAAATATATAGGATTGATTTACTGGTCACCGCTTTGATTTGACAGTAGCATGCTATCAATTCAAAAATAAAAAGCTCTTGATGCCCTTATATATTAAATATTTCTGTATATCACAAGTGAAACTACATCTTGTTTAATTAATATTTTAAACTCTTAGTTGTTTAAATTTGTGACTTTGGCCTCAGTAATTTTCCACTTCAAAATATCTCCACTCATTCTCAGTGTATGCTTTAAGAAATTATACTTTCCTCTGTGGGTGAATATTTTTTTTGTTTATAGAATGAAAATGTGTAAGAGATTTATAACAATTTAATGAGAATTTCAGACACCAGGGAAATCCCGAAGATTTGGAAATATTGGTCTAAGATGTTATGTATTCCTTTATGAGTTTATCAAATTTTCATGGTTGATGTTAATTTCTATGGTATTCTGATACACTTATATAAGCAATGGTGTAAGAATAAAGAGGCACAATAATGCCTGTAAAGCCTGTCTCCTTTTTGCAATGCTATAGGAAATACTAATATTTGTGCCATTCTGTCATTGCTCAGAGACTGAATACTCTTGGTGGCAAATTTCAGATAGATTTATCAGGAAATTAAAATGTCCAGAGGTATATATCAAAGTGTTATCTGAAGGATCTCCATTATTGACATCAAGAAAAGAAAACATTCCATGATACATAATTTTAGTTGGACTAACTAATTGCCAGTAGATATTCCAACAAAAAAATAACATGTAGTGTTATAAAAACTGTTAATTTTCCCAGGTAGTTTGAAACAACCACCATTTTTAATTCATTTACAGTAGTCTTTGACCTGGTCTTTTCTTTCTTTCTTTCTTTCTTTCTTTCTTTCTTTCTTTCTTTCTTTCTTTTTTCTTTCTTTCTTTCTTTCTTTCTTTCTTTCTTTCTTTCTTCTTTCTTTCTTTTTCTTTTTCTTTCTTTCTTTCTTCTTTTCTTTCTTTCTTTCTTCTTTTCTTTCTTTCTTTTCTTTCTTTCTTTCTTTCTTTCTTTCTTTCTTTCTCTTCTCCTTCCTTCCTTCTTCCTTTCCTTCCTTCCTTCCTTCCTTCCTCCTCCTCCCTCCCTCCCTCCTCCCTCCCTCCCTCCCTCCCTCCCTCCTCCCTCCCTCCCCCCTCCTTCCTTCCTTCTTTCCTTTCCTTCCTTCTTCTTCTCCTTCCTTCCTCCTCTCCTCCCTCCCTCCTCCCTCCTCCTCCATCCCTCCCTCCTCCCTCCCTCCCTCCCTTCTTTTTTCCTTCCTTCCTTCCTTCCTTCCTTCCTTCCTCCTTCTTCCTTCCTTCCTTCCTTCCTTCCTTCCTTCCTCCTTCTTTCCCTCCCTTCTTCCTTTCTTTCCCTCCCTCCCTTCCTCCTTCCTCCCTTCTCCTTCCTCCCTTCCTCCCTTCCTCCCTCCTCCCTTCCTCCCTTCCTCCCTCCTCCCTTCCTCCCTTCCTCCCTTCCTTCCTTCCTTCCTTCCTTCCTTCCTTCCTTCCTTCCTTCCTTCTTTCTTTCTTTCTTTCTTTCTTTCTTTCTTTCTTTCTTTCTTTCTTTCTTTCTTTCTTTCTTTCTTTCTTTCTTCTTTCTTTCTTTCTTTCTTTTCTTTCTTTCTTCTTTCTTTCTTTCTTTCTTTCTTTTCTTTCTCTTTCTTTCTTTCTTCTTTCTTTCTTTCTTTCTTTCTTTCTTTCTTTCTTTCTTTCTTTCTTTTCTTCTTTCTTTCTTTCTTTCTTTCTTTCTTCTTTCTTTCTCTTTCTTTCTCTTTTCTCTTTCTTTTCTCTCTTTCTCCTTTCTTTCTCCTCTTCCCTTTTCTTCCTTCCTTCCCCCTTCCCTTCCCTTCCCTTTCCCTTCCTCCTTTCCCTTTCCCTTTCCCTTTCCCTTTCCCTTTCCCTTTCCCTTTCCCTTTCCCTTTCCTTTCCCTTTCCCTTTCCCTTTCCCTTTCCCTTTCCCTTTCCCTTTCCCTTTCCCTTTCCCTTTCCCTTTCCCTTTCCCTTTCCTTTCCCTTTCCTTTCCTTTCCTGACAAAGTGGGTCTGCATAGCCAATGTGCACTTGTGGGCTGATCGGCTGTACACTGGTTATAGCATGAGCAAAGAAAAATGTCCATAGACTATACTATAAAGAATATGTTTCTTTATTTCACTTTTTCATATGTATAAAATTGAATAAATACTTTCAAATCACTCCCATAAAGCTTGTTTCAGGAGTGAAATCCAGGAATGTAATACAGTTAAATAATATGCTGAATTTACCATGATAACATCAATTTTACTGGGTCCTTGAGACCTCTTAATGCTGATGAACATAATTATTGTTTCTCTGGAAGTTTCTGGAGAACAGAGGTGATATAATATGAGTCTATGCAATCCACAGCCTTGAGGCCCATTTGTTTTGGCCCTCAAGATGTGACCTTTGTAACACTAAAAGGAAAGATATGATAATACAACTTCTTCCTTCTCACATGGTAAGGCATGCCTGTAAATTGTTATTCTTTAAAAAATTGAAGAGAAACTGCATTTTTCTTTCCTTCCCCAACTGATATCTCTTTTTCTAACTCTATGAATTTGTTGAATCTTACTATGGTACTAATACCTGATGCGGGATATTAAAATATTACCTCAGTTGGAAGGAAGGAGGGAGGGAGGGAGGGAGGGAGGGAGGGAGGGAAGGAGGGAGGGAGGGAGGGAGGGAGGGAGGGAGGGAAGGAGGGAGGGAGGGAGATGCAAAAGGATATGTGACAATATTTTCAAATAAGGACATGAAAAGTTATTTGGATTGATAAATGCACAATTAAAATAGTACTAAAATAACACAAGACTATTTACATTTAGAAACCAATGGAAATTGTAAAGATTTTATAACTTCTGAAAAGAATGGCATCAGTCTTAAACAGAATGAATGATTAAGGCTTTAAGGAAGAAATGACTCAAATTTTATGTTTCAGTCCTACAGTTTCCAAAACAGGAAAGAATATCAAAATAGCTGAAATTTAAAAGTTCCATGGTAGAAAAAAAAACCTGAAATATCTGCATATAAGGTAGGTTTTTATGAATAATTTGCGGTAGTAATAAGAGAACAGGAAAGTTATAATAGAATGCGGCAGCTACTAGAGGACAAGAAAAGTCTTTTTTCACACTCTATTTTATAATTAATTTTAAATTACGAATAAATCACTGGTGTTAATAGTCATTTTGTCATTGAAAGATACACAATAAAATAAAGAATATTGCTAAAACCCTAAACCCCATCTTAAGAAGCTATGATACAGAGAACAGAAGAACAAAGAACAGAAGGTGCTTTAGTACTCCGTTACTCATCTCTGACTTTGGGACCCATGAAGCAATTAGGATAAACCTAATTTAATTAGGATAAACCCTCACCTTTCAAATCAATTAGTGTATGTTAAAAAACATAAATAATTAAAAATAAAAAATGACTTAAATGTGCCAGTAATGTGCACTTATATTAATTCAAAGGTAAAGGACACATATCCTTGCCTTTGAAGATTTTTAAGTGTGTAGGAGAGACAAACATATACATAAATGCTATTGTTCTCTGTATATAAAAAAGAAATGTGTTATTTACAGTTATATATATATGTATATACATATATATGTATGTATATATATATACACACACACACACACACACACACACACACACACACACAAGACACAGGATGACATGAAGATACTTCTCTCTCAGGGAGTATTTATAAAATATTTCAATGGAAAAGGTGAGTCTTAATTAAATTTAAATAACGTAATAAAATGTTACAAGATCATGAAACTAAAAGACAAGGTAAATAACATGAGCAAACAGAGAGAGGCATGCAACACCTCAAAGAACCCATGGAAACCACAAACATTTTGATATTATTGGAGACTGAATAAAACAGAAGGGTAATATTGACAAGTGGTTGGGGGCCACATTGTTAAAGAGTTGTAACTTTATTCTACAGGGAATGGAGTGCTACTGGAGTGTTAAAGCTAAGAAAAAGCATTTGATTTATAAATTAATAAAAATATTCTGCCTGAGGGTCTCCCTGGTGGCGCAGGGGGTTAAGACGCAACTTATGAAGCTAACCACAGCCACTACAGCACAAGTTCGATCCCCTGCCAGGGAGCAACCCACATGGAGCAGCAGACTCGCCCACTGACTTGCCTCTGACTTACCAACTGCTCTCCTGACTCGCCCACTGATCCCCTCAGCAGTGTATTTCCATCAATCTGCCTGTTCTATTCTCTACTCTGTCTCTGGTGAATCCTCTCATACCCACCCCCTCACCTCTGGTCTGTACCCCAGCTCTTATATGCATAAAAATAAATCTTTTTAAAAAAATTCTGTCTGAGGTGAAGAAAACAAACTAAATGTAGTCTAGTCTAGAGATAAGAAACTCAGGAGACTATTATAAAAATTCAAGCATAAGGTAATGAGGGCTTGGATCAAAATAAAACAGTGAGTTTCAAGAAGAAAATGTGTATATCAGAGCTTAAAGAGATATGATCTAATGGATTTTGATTAATTTGTAATTATAATAGTGATATGATATTGATCATAACAACAACAAATGCATATTACAGTTTATTACATACCATGGTTTGTAACTGAAAGTTTTTATTTTCACATGAAACCAATGAAGGTAGGTACTTTTTATTCCCCTGTAACTTGTTCATCCCTAATGTTCCAGCCTAGTAATTGGATCACTTCACTCAACAGCTTAGGCCAAATGTCATTACCCTTGATTAATCTTTCCCTACCACACCTAGGTCCAATTCATTGGTAAAGAATACAATCACTACTTACCACCTCTATAGCAATAGACTTTGTTCAAGCTGCAATCATTTGATCATCAATGTCCAGGATTACTAGACAAGACTCCTTCCTTGTTCTTGACTTGTTTCCCTACTATCTTTCTTCTACACTAGATAGAATGACATTTCCCATAGCAAAGTGATGTCAGTTGTTGCTATCACACTTGAACCTAAATCAGAAGTCTTTATAAAAACTGTGAAGCCCTACTAGAACCAATCACTGGTTATCTTTTTGACCTATCTTTCTACCAGCTCCCTCCATTTCTCTTAATCTGCTCTAGGCACATCTCTGCACTTCCATGAACACCTGCATGCATGCTGCTGCTTCAGGGCTTTGTGCTTGTTTTTCGCTCTGCATGGAATTATTTTCACAGAATTCTCTTCCACAACAGATCTCCATTCAAATGAAGACATTTAAGTGGCTTCAGACATATGAAAGAAAATGTAGAGGAACCAAATAAGAGATCAGGAAAAAAAAAAAAACTATAATGAAGTAAAAATCAGAATCAACAGGCAACCATAGACCGGATATATTCTGTAGGGGAGGAGGAGGGAGAAGGATCAGGACAGGGGTGGGAAGAGCACAAGGAACTATGGCGATGGTGCACGGGTGAATTAATGGTGGGAATTTCACAGGAAATCATACATTGTACAAAAATAAAGGATGAGATAGATAGATAGATAGATAGATAGATAGATAGATAGATAGATATAATGTTCCCAGTCACATATTATTAGAGAAATACAAATCAAGACCCAAGACCACAGTGCGATATCATATCACACTTGTGAGAATGGCCAATATCAAAAATTCCAGAAACAACATTGAGGAAGACGTGGAGGAAAGGGAGAACACTCCTACACTACTGGTTGGAATGAAAACTGATCCAGCTCTTATGAAAAGCAGTATGGAGGTGTCTCAAAACATTAAACATGAGTATGCCATTTGACCCAGCAATTTCAGTCCCAGGAATCTACCACAAAAATTCAAAAACATTAATTCAAAAGGAAACTCATACTCCCATGTTTATTGTGACACTATTTACTATAGCTAAACTACAGAAACAAATTAAGTTCCCCAGAATAGATGAAAGGATCAAGAAAATGTGGTATATATACACAATGGAGTACTGCTAGGCTATTACAAAAGATAAACTAATGATATTTTGCGGCAACCTGGATGGATCTGGAAGGGATAACACTAATTGAAATATGTCAGAAAGACAAAGATACATACCCAATAGAATATGTGGAATATAAGGTAAGTTAATTAACAGTCAAATTAAGACAATGTGAAAAACTATCGCTTGCTAGCTGACTATAGAACTGAAACACCAATGGGGGAGGGTTTGGGAGAGGGGAAAAAACAAAGAGGGAAGGGAGCACAGTGGTATATGGTGATGAAATGTGGGTGAGTTGGTAGTGGTTATACTTGGTGTTAATGCCTGATGGGGGTAACCTGATGTTACCTCAGTTAAAAATAAACAAATATTTTATTTTTAAAATGTTATATCCTAAAGGATGCTTTCCTTTACAATTTTATATAACTAACATCTATTTCCCTGCTCTACCTTCACTTTTGATCTTCCAATTTTCTCATTTTTCATGAAAGGTATTGCTATCCAATGAACATACATTTAACTTATTATCTTCCCTAAAATTTAATGAAATTTAATACATTTAAATAGATTCAAATTAAATTTTAATTTAAATAGATCCCTTCTGCCTCTATTTACATGTTTTAGCTTAAATATGAGATTTCATAGGAGGGATGTATTCATTATAGAAAAATAGGAGAAGGTTGAAAATAGACTTGGGCCCCAAATTATTGTTTTTATATTAATATATAACATATGACATAAAGGTGGGTTTCATTCCTCCTGTACATGGATACACACACACACAGTATATACATAATATATACATATATAAGGTATACATAATGAGTGAGTGCTTATATATAATGTTGAATTATATTGTGAGATTCAAAAGAAATATGTGCAATTTTTTGTAAGATAATTGTAATAATGAATGAGAGTTTTTCCTAAGATTATAATGAGGTTTGATTTTGTCTAGAGTGTATGCAATGATTGTGGGTTAGAAAACATCATTTCAGGGCCTCCCCGGTAGCACAGCGTTTGAGCGCTGGGTTGCGAAGTTGCCCGCAGCCTCTGCAGCGCCGGTTTGATCCCCGGCTGCTCCCTGGCCACTGGAGGAAGGTCCCATATGACACGCAGACCTCTCCTGCTGCCCGCTGCTCCCCTCAGCAATGTGCATCGGTCCTTCTGCCTGCTCTGCTCTCCGCTCTGGTTCTGGTGAATTCTCTCACCCTCCCACGCTTCTGACTGTACCCAATGCTTGTATAAATAAATAAAAATAAATCTTTAAAAAAAATGAAATCATCATTTCATCTGCAAGTGCTATATAGTCTATTTAGCATAGGTGTATTAGATGACTAAGTACCACTTGCTTAGTTGCTTTGGCTTTTGCATACTCAGCTGTTTTCTTGAAGGACCACCTACATAATGGGGAAATTTGGCTCATTCCAAGCTAACTCACTGATGTAATTGGCCTTCTGTCTTACATTACATAATTGCAGTCCTTGTACCAGAAGCTGTTAACAGTGAGATCTGCAAAGAAGTGCAGGGACAAAATAACCATTTTATTTTTTCCTATTAAATCTATTGTAAATTGTTGTGCTTTGGTAATATAAACAAGCTGAGAATGTACCTCTTTTATGTATAAAAAATGGGAAGCAAACTGGTGTTATTAATGGTTCAAAGTTTATTCACAGCAGAGGCTTTGAAAGAACTTGTTTCATGAAAGTAAAAGGAAAAGTTCAAAAGCTTAGCTATGGCAATTATAGGAACATTTTCTTTGTCTCTTCTTGTGGAATGCATGCATCTTACCTTCAATGGCTGACAGCCTTCTTGTCAGACCAATTACTTTAAAACAATTGTTTCCTTTGGAACTGATGTCACAGTTCTGGTGATTTTCCCATGTCAGTGACACATTCAATTAAAACAGCTCTGAACAGGAGTTCTGGAGGACCCACTGTGCCTTGTCCAATCTTATCAGTCAACAAAGAACAACCTCAGAGACTTCAGTGCCGGCTGGTTCCACTGTCAGGTGGTTTGAACATGTTGCACCTTTCCAGGGTTCCTCTGAGTTTTTCATCCCTGTGCCTTTTACAGCCAGTGACAGGCGCCATCTCAGCAGTATCTGGGTCTACTATGCCAAGAAAGCTTATGACAGTAAATAAAATGGCAGCTGTGACCATTCTGACAGCTGGCTAGAGCTCAGGGTGGTGGGCTGAACCAGACTGTGAGCAGTTGGAACAGCAGTGAGGTATGACCACCATTATTGGTGGGCAGATGTCAGTTTCCACACTGCTAGTTACTACATGATGTGACGGACACACTTGCATCATTATACAGGCAGGCAGAACTTTAAACAAACTTTGGGAAACTAGTATATTCTGTACCTTCCCTTAAGTTTGCAAAATGTAAAGATTTCTTTACAACAAAAAAAAAAAGTGTACCTTTGCTGTGTTATGAATTAACAATGGCAGAGAACTGACTTTTCCGTGTAAGTGAATGAAGTGAAAGTAAAACTGATTTCAAAGGAAGATTTAGTGTGTTTCTCAGCAACTTAGGAAAGGCAGTCTAAGTTCACATTTATATATTTAGGATATCTTTGTGTATAAAATTAGGAGTTCCCACATCTTTTGGTTATCCTCCCTTACTTTCTTTAATTATGTAAACTCCTCCTATCTTTGCCTGTTTTTTTTTCCTATTTTCTGAAGAAAAAATGATGAGAAAAACAACTATTTTCAGACAAAGTGGATGTTGTAAAATATAAATTACCAAAGCAGATAAGATGAAAGAAGCCATTAATGATATATGATATATATGTATACAATTTATGCATACCATTTGAATAAATGGGACAAAATGGATTTCTGCCGTCATGTCAAGTCTGTGTAGAATATAGACCTCCTAGTTTGTTGGATGTCAACCAAGTTTGGCTAACAGGCTCCAGGGGTGGAAATTTGTCATGAATCTAAAGTGGACAACTTTTAGGCTAGATCTAGGGTAGCAGATAACAACTGAGCTGACCCTGGTCATAGATAAATCAGCAAAATTACACAGGCACAAACTGATGTCACTATTCTCACACCCACTTTGGACCACCTAAAACCAATTCTCCTAATGTACAATCCTGCAAAAAAACCATTTGACTAATGAAAATTTTCCTCATGAAAACCTGATATAGATGTAATATTTTATCTATAATAAGATGACTAATATTTTTCTGGGATAGTTTTTTTATTAAGTCTATTTTATAATATTCTAAGCATTTAGTCTTTTTATTTTTAAAGATTTTATTTATACAAGAACTGGGGTACAGGCCAGAAGCACGGGAGGGTGAGAGGATCCACTAGAGACAGAATGGTGAGCAGAAAAAGCAGTGGTTCAAAGGCACTGCTGAGGGTAGCAGC